CAGTCTCATATTATGCCTCATTGTTTAAAGCTTTGAACCCAAATCTGAGGGAGTATTCGATGTCTATCCCGTCAGGGGAGGTAGGATCAAACCTGCACTACTGCCCTAGGCGTTGGCAGCTTCGTCCACCAAGAGCTTCCATGTGGGGAGGTTGGGTACTAGTTGGGCCACCTTCAGAGACGCTTCTGAGGCTGTGGTAAACTCTGTAATGAAGTTTGCTAACATTTTCCCTTTGACTGTGGCTCTAGGTTTATACTTGATATCGAATTCACCGAGCTTTACCGCCCATTTGACTAGCCTTCGTGAGAACTCTGGTTTGTGCAACACTTGTTTCATGGGTTAATCTATAGGGACCTCGATGGTGTGACTCTGGAAGTAAGGTCTTACCCTTCTTGCTGCTATGACTAAAGCCACTACCAATTTTTCCATTTTCGAATATCTTTCTTCTGCCCCCCTCAGAGCTCTGCTACAGTGGTAGACTAGTTGCTAAGCTCTATCTTGCTCTCTGACTAGCGCCGCACTGGTTGAGAAGTCTAAAACAACAAGATATAGTGTGAGTGCCTCTCTTTCCTTAGGGCTCACCATGACTGGGGGTGTACCGAGGTAATCTTTGAGGGCTTTGAATGCCTTCTCTCCTTCCCTTGACTTTGTCTAGGTTTGCCTCAATTCCTCTGCTATTGATTACAAAACCTAAGAATTTTTCAACTGAGACCCCAAAGGAGCATTTGGCTAGGTTAAACTTCATATGATATTTTTTGAGGGTTTGAAAAGACTCCTCAAGGTGCTCGATGTGGAGCTCAACTTTTAATGACTTCATAAGCATGTCATCGATATACACCTCCATTGACATTCCAATCTGCTTTTGGAACATTCGGTTTACTAAACGTTGGTATGTAGCCCTAGCGTTCTTCAATTCAAATGGCATGACTTGGTAGCAGTATATCCCCTACTCAGTACAAATGATGTATTTTCCTGATCGCCGGGGTCCATTTTGATTTGGTTATATCTTGAGAAGGCGTCCATGAAACTGAGGAGCTCATGTCTAACTGTGGCGTCTACAATTAGGTCAATCTGAGGCAGTGGGAAACTGTCCTTGGGGCAAACGCAATTTAAGTCTGTGAAGTCGATGCAGATGCGCCACTTACCATTCAATTTCTTGACGAGGACTATAGTGGCTAACCAGGTTGGGTAGTCTATCTCCCTGATTGCTTTGGCATGGAGGAGTTTGTTGACCTCCTCATTAATTGACTTTTGGCGTTCTGGGGCAAAACTTCTTCATTTTTGCTTGATGGGCTTGCAGGTTGGGTTTACGCTGAGCTTGTGTGTGATGATTGAGAGGTCAATTGCCTACATATCCTCTTGCCCCATAGTGAGGAATTTTTATAGTATTTATAGCTAAATTTGAGCTCCACTGAATCTAAGCCGAGATATTCGCATCTTGTAACGTTTGCTTGATTTAGGCAACGATTATACAGTGAGATGAGGGTGTGATGAGGGTTTTATTACAAGTTTGGTGCCTAGGCTGGCATATGTTGCCATTGAGGAGATGTTTGGTGGTTGCCAACTGTCTTCCCCTCTATTTCCTCTGAGGTGCAGATTTAGGGAGATCGACGTCTGGAACTTAGCTCGATATTTTTGTGGTTGGGCTCCCGAACTGCTGATCTCAGACTTGGAAACCTTTATGAGTATCATCAATAACCAAATGGACCCCTAGTGGGGATATTTGCCACTGAATACTAATTTAAAATTGGCAATTGTTGATGCTTTATGTGATTGTACAATAATTCCTCTATAAATACTAACATTATTGTATTATATGGTTATGCACTTTTGTTCCTATGGTCTAGTTTTGATTCTTTGTTGTACATGTTTCAATGTATAAGGACAGAAATGCCATAGGCATGAAAGAAAAATGCTGGCCATTTTATCATGAGTGGGAAACATATTCGACAAGGACCTACTAGAGAGTTTGCACGCGACTTTGAAGAGATGGTTGCACCCGAAAAAAGAGAGCAAGAATTCATTGTAGATTATACTGAGGATACCAGAGCCTCCAATAGTGTGACTCAAACTGAAAGTGGCGAAAATCTGCATATGCGCATGATGAGAAAGAGGAAAACGACAATGTTAAATGCAGTCAGTCATGGACTAAGTAACAATACTCAAGTCTTACAGGAGTATGCGTTAGATAATGGTAAAAAACTCAAATGTATTGCTCAATGGGTTGGGAGCAAAGAAGATGTTGATTATACGCATCGTGTGTACACTGAGCTATCGAAAATAGAGGGCTTGAGAGTGGAAGAAAGGTAGGATATAGGATACAACATTGTAAGTGACCCATTGAACGTAGATTTTTTTTTTAGTCTGCCTGAGCATGAGAGAGTTGCTTAGGTTAGACGTGTGATAAAGGAGAGAATATATTTGAGTTGCTAGGTGTTTACTAAAGTTTAAGGACTTGTTTGCATTTGGTAATCTATTTCTAACTGATATTCTATGTTTAATTTTCCAAAATGTTTGACCTATGGTATCAAAAACTACTACACTCTTTAAATCTAATGAATCTGGAATCTTTCAAGTATTTTTGTTGTTGTTATTACAATTTTAATTTTGGCAATTTTAGAAATAATGAAATATTGCTTGATTGATTATAATTCCAGTAAAATAGTTTTTTGTTACTTAAGTTTTGAAAAATTATTCTCGTATTGATTGAATATGTAGTATCTATTTTTTTTTTGTTATTTGAATCCAATATATTTCAATTGGTTTTCACATTATTATACAAAGTTTTTTCGTTTGAATTATCAAGGAATGAATGTAAAACAAACATATGTGAAGAGTTGGTTTTTAATAATTTTGTCAAATGTGATTTTGGATTGGATACATGGGTAGTTTTGCCATTTTTAATTTAATACCATACACTTTTATCTAATCAAAACATCTATATAATAAAGTAGCTTACAATTCAAATCTCAAAAGATAAACAAAATAACTTTTGTTATTTGTAGTTGATATTACTTTAAATTTTACTTTAAAATTCGTCTAACGGTTAACATTAACATCCTAAATTTAATAAGAAAAATAGGTCTCTAAATATGTGTTTAGAGTGACTTTTTAAAATTACTTTAAAAATTATTTTTCATAAATATTTGAAAAAAATTAGTGTTCGAAACTGCTCCACCACTACCTCTACCACCACCATTGTCATCGTCATCGCCACCACCATTGCCGCCACCACTGCCACTACTGCCGCCACTACTGCCGCCACCACCGTCGTCGCCACCACTACCACTGCCACCACCACCGCCTTCACCGCCACCGCCGCCACCACACCATCGCTGCCACGAACACCGCTACCACCACCACCACCATCGTCGCTACCACCGCCATTGCCGCCGTCACCACTACCCCCACCACCGTCGTCATTCCCACCCCTACCATCGCCACCACCACCACCGTCACCATCACTGCCGTCGTCACCACCACTGCCGTCGTCACCACCACCATCACCCCTATTGCCACCATCGTCGCCACCGCCACTGCCACCGCTATCGCTACCCCTCCCCACCACGGCCACTGCTACCACCACCCCCATCACCACTGCCACCATCACCGCTGCCACCATCGTCACCGCCACTACCACTATCACCGTTGCCATCGCCCTTGACGCCACCATCATCGCCGCCCTCGCCGCCACTACAGTAATTGTCACCCACCACAACCATCACCATCTCTTACCACCACCACTGCCGCCCACCAATTCTCACCCCACTACAAATCGATACTTAAATTCTTTTATCTCTTCTCTATGTTTGTGATTTAATTTTGAATATAAATACAAATATATTTATTATTTATCATTTTTTATTACTCTATGTTTTCAAGCATAGACAATAACTAGTCTATATAATAAATTAGTTTACAATTCAAATTTCAAAGGAAAAACAAAATAACTTTTGATTTTCGCGGTTCAGATCGCTTTAAATTTTATTTTAAAGTTAATCTAACGGCTAATATTTACACCCTAAATTTAATAAGAAAAATAGGGTCCTAAGAGTGTGTTTGGAGTGATTTTTTTAAAGTACTTAAACGAATTATTTTTCATAAGTATTTTTTAAAAAATAGTGTTTGAAACCCCACCACTACGTCTACCACCACCATCGCCGCCACCACCACCACCACCATAGTCGCCGCCGCCACTACCACCACCACAGTCATTGCCACTCACCACAATCATCACCGTCTTCTACCACCACCACTGCCGCCCACCACCTCTCACCCCCACTACAAACTGATACTTAAATTTATTTATCTATCCTTTATGTTTGTGATTTGATTTTGGATATGAATACAAATATGCTTATTGTTTATCATTTTTATTACTTTATTCCTTCAGACACAAATAATAACTAGTGATTTGATATTATAAGTATAGATTTAAGTCTTATACTAACCTTAATCTAAATATGATTCACAAAAGCTATGATAAAATTACTCTTATGAATATCATTTGTAGTCCTTTATTTATATCCGAATCAAACATGTCCTAATAATTTTATTATTTTTGAGAAGCGAAATAATTGCACCTAATTTTTAAAAAATTTCTTCTCTAGTATAAGCTATGATTGTGATTTTCTATAAGTATGTTTTCGAAATTAAGTAATGATTGTGATTTAGAGGGGAAGGGAAGACATGGTTTGTTCGTTGGACTATAGTATGTGGACACTCCAATCCCAATCCAACGCCAAGTAGTATAGGTATAGCTATGATTTACTTGTGACTCCATGTCTATGTGTGCCGACCAAGAATCTCTACCTCCACAATACTGATCAAAGTGGTAACTAACCTTATCTTTTTGTAACTAAGCAGATCACTCACAAGAAAGAATCAAAGTCCTTCACGACTCTTCCTCTCTCTAGGACACCATAATATTTCATCATCGTCGTCTTAATTATTCAGTGATCAGACTCTGTTTTCTACTGGACAGTCTTCATAGCGCAACCATGCCCTCTTCACTATCTCCATCTCCATCTCAATCTCAGAACCCATATCTTCAAACCATCCTAGAATCAGCTCGTCCATTCCTCCGTGGAGAGCTCGAATCCGTCGACAAAAACCTACCTTCCCTTGTCGTTGTCCTGCGCTCCGTCGGCGCCGGCGAGTGCTGGCACAAGCACGGTAGCTTTCTCGATCATCTTGTCGACATATATCGCATTCTAAAGCTTTGGAAAGCACCAGATTCTGTGTGCCTTTGTGGGCTGTTCCACTCTGCTTACTCCAACTCTTACGTCAATCTCGCAATCTTCGATCCTTCCACTGGCCGCGACACCGTTCGCAACCTCGTCGGAGAAGCCGCCGAGCGTTTGATCCACTTGTTCTGTATTGTTCCGCGCCAGCCTCTTATTCACGATGATCTGTTGTTCAATTATACGGATTTGGAACTCGTTGAACACCTTAAGGTTTCGGAGACTTCGTTGAAGAACGCTAAAGAAAAGGGGTTGTTCGATGAAGAAGAAATCTGGAGGAAGAAACTGCAATCGATTCTTCCTGCTAATGGAATTACAGTGAAGCACATAAAAACCGGTGAAGATATGCCGATTTCGCGGAGGTTGGTTGCTGTTTTTCTTTTGATGACAATGGCGGATTTTAGTGATCAGCTATTTGGATTTCAGGATGCTTTGTTCGAAAATTCGGATGGCCGTCTTGAATTTTCCGGCAACAATTTTGTCGTTTTGTGGCCCGGCGACGGCAAGCCAGGACTGTGGATGAACTCCGTATCAAGAATGGGAGCAATATACACTCTGATAGTGAGAGAAGAAGAGATTTTCATGGAACACAGAAAATCAAAAGGCCATGAAGGGGAATTTCTTGACAGAGACGAAGAAATTGAGCTTGTGATACCACCAGTTTTTGAGAACTGCACTAAGGTTTTGGATGCAGGCGAGCAGATAGGTGCAAGAGACTTGTATTGGGAAGGTGTTTGTGATATGTCTAAGAGAGGGTTGGAGAGAGCAGAGGATATGTTGTTGATGAGTGTGAAGAAGAATGGTTTTGTTGGGGAGCCTCATGTGGTGTTGGGTCAGATTTATTTGAGTAGAGGGAGGTTTGAGGACGCTGAGATTGAGGCTGAGAAAGGGCTTACACTCTTGTTGGAGTGGGGAAGTCCTTGGGATAAGAGAATGTCATGGGAAGGGTGGGTTGCTTGGGCTAGGGTTTTGTTGATGAAGGCCAAGGACAGGTCCTGGCCAGACAGTTCTTGGGGCATCCTCAACTTGGGTCTCGTGAGGTAAAAGGTTTGTCAATTGACTAAGCTAGCAGTGCTCTGGTAATAGTATAGCACTTGTACCTTGATTTCTCTCTCCATTTGCTCCTGCTTTTAGAGTTCTTTCGCAATCAAGTTCTACCTTTTGGCGGATCAGGATTTATATTTATAGCTGATCCTTAATTCTTATGTTAAGAGCTTGATAAGATAACACTTGGTTGAGTTGATAATAATTTTGTTGTCTTGCTTTGCATTTTAACTAAGCATATATCTCTGTGGCAGAGCGTACATGTCTGTTTATTATATCCTTACATTAAGGCGAGGTCCACCCCAACACTCTGGCGAAAGATTCATAAAATTCCACCACCACGCATCACCACCACCCACCTTGCACCCCACCGACATATATTAGGGTTAAAAAAGGATTACATACATTGGATATATATTAGATACTTTATATCATTTTGGTCCCTGAAGTATCATTTTGATGGGTAGTTCAAGATTAATTAATGATATAATTGATAAAAAAAAATATAATGACAATTTCGGGGTGAATTTGATACTTCCTGGAAACTTTTAATTTAATTTAATTTGTCAATAAGACTTAACAAATTCACGAACTATCAGAGAAAAAAAGGAGAGGAATCTTATATATTATGGTTAATTACATTAGAGATCCTCAAAGTTTAATTTGTCAATGTGACTTAACAAATTCAGGAACTCCGGAGGAAAAAGGAGAGTAATCTTATATATTAGGGTTACATACATGTGGAGGTCCTCAAAGTATGGGGTTTGTCTCATTTTGGTCTCTAATATATCAACTGCATCATTTTGGTGCCAGAAGTATTGAATATATTTCCATATGGTCCTTTAAGTAAACAATGTCCAAATTATTAGCGATTTTTTTATCATAAATTAGTCACGTGATACTTAAATATGGACAAAAATAATAATTTTGATAACTCTTAACCAAAATTTTACTCAAATTTTGGTTAAATAGTTACTTAAATTACAAAAATTTGATAATTAGCTATCCAAATTTTGGTCAAAACTTACCCATTTTACACAATTTTTGTTAAGAGCTATCCAAATTTTATTTAAGAGCTATCAAATTTTATTTAAGAGCTATCAAATTTTGTTTATGGGATCTCTGGGCCTTCATTCTCTTAAGCCTCTCGGCAGAATAATTTGGGGAGGGGGGAGAGAAGAGAATACTGCTTCATCGTCCCTAAAGATGAATCTAACAATAGAGAAATCGTCTTTTTTAAATACAGCTTCTTTGAATTTATTTTAGCTATTCTTATGGGGGAGCATGCTATCTCCTAGCAAACGTTTCACCATTAGGTCTGTTAACGAGCGAGGTCCGACAAAACTCGTTGAGAAATGAAGAAATAGACAACTCAAGCGAGAGAAAAGAATTATCCTCATTGAATTAAGAACAACCATTACATCATCTATTTATATACAAGATTTACCACAAAAAACTAATTCAAAACTGAATTACATTAAAAGAATATATATTCTAATAAATTTTAACAAACTACCAGCTAAATTTCTTTTAACTAACTCTAACTAACTGATGCAGTATGGGTGGTGATGATGTTATTAACACGACTGAGCATAGGAGAGAATGTAAGGTATACTGAAAAGTTTGACTTAGTTCAGTCTAAGCTTGAAGGCTCTTTGGAATAAGATCTGGGGATAGGGGTTATCACACTGAATATTTATAGTAGTTCACCAGCTCTGGACCCTCGCTAATCCACTCTCAAGGGAGTTTGTTGCTCTTGAGAATATATTGATAACTGGGGAGTTTACAAAGAGTATTTTAGTGAGGCTATAATTCCTTGTTGTTTCTGTTGAGGGCTTTGTCTTTTATTTATAGTTATACTGGGCCTAGCTTGATCTGATGTGAGATTATTGCCCCTTTCTTGTTATCCCCTAATTTGCTGAAGATCTAGGGCTTTACTGATAACTCCCCAAATTTGATTCGAAAATTCTACGAGGCTAGCCTAGTCCATTCCTCGGATTTGTCCCAAGTTTCTGATTGTTGCTTATTTTCAGCTAGATACGTCATTTTCTCTGCACTTCTTCTCTTTTTAAGCTTTCTTTCATTTTGGATCCCTCGAATTTGAGATGGTGATTTAATTTTTGAACTTTTCGCTTTTGTTACTTTAGGAATCGAGATCGTTCCATGTCCTTTCTTCCCCTCTTTTTGGACCCTTACTCTACTACTAGAGTTTTTCTCTTTGGTTGCTAGTGTCTCGACCCTTGGGCTCTTAGGGATTGCTTTAGTCGTGTTCCCCTCGTCTATAGCTCTTTCAATCTTCCTTTCTTCTGTCAAACCATGTCTATTTCTTCCGAAGCTACTACTTCATCTACCTCTCTTGTCGTGGGTGATAGGTCTCCTAAACTAGAAGAAGAAGCACTAAGGGATGTAGGTGATGAAATAGATAACTTTCTCGGGGTTGATGACGAGGAAAGGGCAGAGGTGTGTTTATCTTTACCAGGGTTTTCCTCGAGTTCTAAGCGATCCCAAAAAGGAAAGGCTAAAAAAGGTAGGGTTGGGCCCTCAGGCAATGTCGAGGGCTTTAAACTTGCTCCTCGCGCTTCAAATCTGATAGGTCATAATGAGGTTATACCTCCTTTTATTAGTGTCTTTTCTGCGAGATTTGGCTTTCTTAAGGACATGGGTTATTCTTGCCCTTCTATAGATATTAGATATGACTCTGAAGTGTCTGAGAAGACCTATTTTTTCATAGCCTCTCTAGAGAACGGTCTTAGGTTCCCTATACACCCCTTCATCAAATCCGTTCTTCAGCACTTCAACATTTGTCCTACTCAGATTTCTCCCAACTTCTGGGGTGTCTTGGTGGGCGTCCTCGTCTTTTTAAGAAAATGAGCTTGGTACCCCTTCGGTTCATTTGCTGATGAAGTACTTCAATGTCAAGTTCACTTCTGATGGTTTTCTGTATATCTCAAAACGGGTGAAGTCCTCAGCCTTGATTACTGACCTTCTGATCTCCCACAAGAATTGAAAGAAACTATTCTTCTTTGTGTCAGGGAAGGAATGAGAGTTTGACCTGAATAATGCTATTGACACTCTTCCTGTTCCACGTTCTTGGTTTTGTCCTGACAACCTGGGTGAGTTTTTGTTTATAAGAGGCTTAGCTTAACACGTTTTGTCTCTACATTTCTTCTGCTGACCTCATTTCCCTTGATTGTTTCAGGTATTCGACCCGATCTTGGAGCAGATGATAGGCTTGCCCTGTTGGGCCTTAAGGAGTGCCAATCAAAGAAGTACTCCAATCTGATCAAGCATTATGTGCTTACACAGTTCAGGTTTAGTCCTCCCGAAGTACGAGTTGAGACCCTAATTCCCATCTCCATAGTTGGCACAAAAGACCCTACTGGTAAGTTTCTTCCCTCTTAATATCTGGTTCTTCCTTTCTTTCTCTTTGTGTTAGCTGACCTACTTACTCTTTCAGGTTCCAGCTTGATGACTCGTGATACTGAGGTTGTGAGGCCTAAGATATCCCAAATGAGGAGTAGTAAATTATTGGAAAGCGTAAGGTAGGAGTTGGGTCTGAGCCTAATCTTCCTTCGAAGGTGTAGAGAATAGAGGTGCCTCCACCTTTTCCTCCTCCACTGACTTTGCCTCCCCAAAAGTCAACTGTTGAGGCATCGTCTTCTATTGTGGGGGTTTCACTGCTCCAGAGGCCTCAATTGCCCTCGAGGCTCGTGCAGGGGTTCCTTCAAAGACGGAGCTCAAGAAACCTCTAGCTTCGACCAGGGAGGATGCGTTGAGCTCTATGGCTCCTTCTTTGCGAGGCCTTCTAGCCTCTAGGTCGATAGGGTGGTGCCTCCTCTACTCACCTTTGGTAAGGTTGATGGCTCTTCTGGCCGAGCTCCTCAAGCAAAGGGTTCCCTTATCAAAGATGTGAACTTGGCTACAGTGGCCATTGCCTCTGTGATCTCGAAATTCGACATTCAGGAGGCTTCTACAATACCTCTTTCCACCTCGGCTGCCACTGCTCTATATGGAATCGCTTCGATAAGTTCTGAGTTTTTTAAAAATGCGTTTCTTTTTTGTATGGGTTACCTTTTCTGACCTTAAATTTTTTGTTTCTTTTCATTTGGCCATTCATGTGAGTGCTCTGGTGACCAAAGTTCAAGCACTGGAGGGTGTTGTTGTGACACCCCTAAAATCGAGGGTCCTTTGTCAACCCATTGATTACCCATCCATGAATGCTGCATAACCCGACACCACGACGCAACATCTCTCTTACCAGGATCACAAAAACACAAAATTTGGGCAGAGTTTCGCTGTACCGAGCACTCCCAAACGCACAACCTGTGTACACTTTGATCACATGATCCATCCGAGATCCAATATACAACAATTTAGCCTCATTTAATGTTCATTTATATCATTTGAACAAAAGAACCCAAGACCCATAGGTTTAGCAAAACATTTCAAATTTGAGATTTTAACAAAATCTATCAGTAGAAGATGTGCAAGATCTACTGGTAGAAAAGGCTATTGAATAAGTTCTACTGCAAAATTTGAAGTTCTACCTGTAGGTTTAACCTACTGGACAAGTTCTACTTGTCGGTCTTACCAATTTTTGCCCATTTTCATCTTTTTTTAATTCCAATTCATTCCAACCTTGTACAACACCAACACCAACCCAAACTTATATAACATGACATTTTAAACAAAATTTAGTTCATACGAGTTCGATAAAATCCTTTACATACAATTAATGTTCCAAAAACTAGATAACATATTAGTTTTATAAAAATATAATTTAAAGTCACATTTTAGCTCTTCATCAATGAGGGCCTGAGTGAGAACCGTTCACTGGCGCATATCTCACACCTGAAATGTTGTCCTCATAAAGGGTGAGCTACGCTCAATAGAGTATCTCTTAAATAAGCTACTCCCCAACCTAAATACATATGAAATGTTCACATGCAAATTCGACAAGCAACAATCATCCATTCATGAATATGCAATTCAATGATACA